GCCGAGGCAGTATGGGACTTGAGGGCTTACCCAAAGGGATAGTTCTGGGGGTCCTGCACCCTTATCCCTGAACTTCAGCAATGGGCTGGCCAGGAAGACCGACACCAGAGAGTCCTATGAGCTGCTCCTTGAGTTTGCCATGCTGTGGGGAGCTGCCTGTGAGCATCAGTCCTTCTGTGCTGCATGGGGCCCCTCATTGCTCCCTGGGAAGCTGTAGGATGCCAATATGCACTTCCTTGTGATGGCTTTGAGGGGTTAACTGCAGCTTTTGTCAGCATACCACACCCTAAAATTCCTAGTCCCAATTCCCAGCTCTTCTGGGGAAGAAAAGTGCATAAGAACTCAAAGGCCAGGCCTGTCTTTCACTGGGACTGAACTACAACTAATGCCCAACCACACCACTTGCTTGTGACATGTTTAGCTGCTTGTATAAATTTTTATGTCAGGTCTCATCCTGGTCCAAAATAGGGCATGTCTTGCCCCAGCCCAAAATGTGCTGAACATACAGCTGGGGTTCAGCCACACAGCTAGGCTGAGACCAAAGAAACTGCAACAGCAACAAAAAGGAACCATGTTTATCCAGCACCAGGGCCCGGAGAGGCAGCAGGGCTCAGGTACACAGCTAAACTGAGACACAACAGCTGAAAAACAACCAGAGCTATTTGCACTGGGTCTGGACTAAGCAAAAAAAAGAGAGCCAGGGCCTAGAATACAGCAGAGGTTCAGCCACACAAACTAGACTGATACAAAACAGCTGTAAAACAACAAAGTGGGGCCAGGCCTATGCTGGCCAATAACTGCCAGGACTCCATTCCTGGCCAGTTCATTCCAGGGATTAATATCCACAGTATTATCTTACTCAAGGCCTTAAGCCTGGTCCAAATTTGCAAGGCCTCTAATCCTGGCCAAAACTGCCAGCAAAACTGCCAGGTTCCAACCCTGGCTATTCTGCTCCAGAGATTAATACCCCCACAGTATTATGCCATTCAAAATGCAAGGGGGGAAAGAAGGGGGGGGGGCGGGTTGTGGAGAGAAGCTTAGTCCCAAACTTCAAGAGAAGCTTTCTCTCTGCCTCCAATTTTCCCTTTACGTAACAGCAAATTGCTACTCAATAAAGCGGGGTGGGGGACATGTCCCCATGGAGAAAGGTTTTCTTTGGGTCCCAATTCAGCCTTACAGTCCTGAGATTGAGAGACTAGAGCCTCAGCTGAGAGTGCTATATATTTTTTCATGACATTGCCCCAAGTATCCAATCAGGGGTTGGCAGGCCTCCAGCCTTTCTCTCAACCAATTAATTCTAAAAAACATTACCCAGCCCATCCAACTGTGCTAGGGGTCTGATTCCCCTGCTGACCAATGCTCTCTTGTTTACAGTACATAGCAGGAAGTGTCAGAAAACAAAAGACCTTCACTCCTGACATGCATTTCTCCTTAGTCCAGGCCCAGTGCAAAAAAACCCATAGTTATATTTAAACTAAAACAAAATGCCTAGCAACATGAAAGCTAGAACATGATTTGCAATACAAAATGGCTGTCCATTTTGTGTGTATTACACCATGCAGTGGAGATCTATGTGCTGGGTTGTGCAGAAGGTTGTACTAGATCATCACAGTCCCTTCTGTCCTTTAAAATCTATAAAGCTCAAAAGACATAAGTGGAAGATGGGACTTAGAAAAGATGATTATTGCTAGGCTAGTATTTAAATAAGCTGGATAGGCAAGCAAAGGTCAGGACATGGAGGCAAAAATAGTTCAAAGTTCAAGTTCAAAGAGAGAAGGGGGGAGAAATGGAACTTTTTTTGGCCCTGTTTCTTAATATATTTCATGATGCGGAAAACAATAGATGCTTGTTTGTAGCATCACTTCATGAAAGAAATAGCTACTAACTAGCAGCATTCCTGGGAGCCTTTTCTCTATCAAGAATTTTCTACCTGGCATCCTAGCTGCTGCCTAAGAGCAACATCTATGAAGGGCAGATGTAATATTGTGGCATAATGTGTGGGTATGTCCTTGTGCTTCTTTCCAGCAGGTCACAGAGCAATTTTAAATGGCCCACATAAGGAAAACATTAAAATGATCAGAGACTGCCAACCTCCCTGGACGTTAATCAAAAACAAGGTGTGTTCAAGTGCGAGTTGTGTGGGTTTCTAGACTCTTCAGATGGTTGTATGAAGAATCTGGATGTGTAGGAATAGAGTTTTGGCTGACTGAAAATGGACTGGGGAGGAGCTATTGTAAACACAAGCATAAGAGAGAAGTCCCCAGTACTGATGAGGCTGAAGGAAGAGAGGCACAGGGAGCAGTGATTTCTCTACCTCCAATCCAGGAAAAGGCTCTTCAAATTATTCTTTCAGTTGAATTGCATGATTGTAAGGCAATTGATGATGGTTACAAGATGGAATAAACGTATCACCAGTATTACAAAAAAGGCCACGAAGAATGGTCAGCAGATAAATTAGCATCTGAACATTGGATAAGTGAGAGATTTCTTCATGTTCCCGAATAGTGTTCCCCAGCTGACATCTACAAGGATGATGAAACAGGACTTTATCTGAATGGTTCTGTGACAAAGCATGTGTAGAAAATTAAGGAGTAACCCTAATAGGTCAACTGAAGTTCAAGAAAATTCCATGGTGGACTGGGCCTACATACAGAGAGGATCTCCAAGGAACCTGTTCATCTAAGTGAAAAATTGGCTCAAAATATTCAAAAACGGTCTCCTACTTTTCTGTGGGCAAATTAGGCATACAGTCAGGTTTTACATAGACCTTCACTACAGTTGCATAAGTAAACAACCTGTATGGAAAAAAATAATAAAGGTTGAATGAGGCCCTCTAAAGTTTGGTCCTTAGTATAGTTGGTGAATCCTGTGCACTTATGTAGATAATCCATATCTTACAGACAGGAAAATAAATCATTTTATCTGAATTTCCATTTCTACAAGTACATAGTTATGTGCAGATTCCAGTAACCATACATAAATGGATTGTAGGTTAATTATCTCTATATACAGAACTTATACAGTATGCTTATTTTACGGAGTGCAATCAACATTTCATACAGCTCTACAGCTTCAGTACTCTATTTCTTTCAGTGAAATTGCTCTTGATTTATGCTGGTGTAAATGAGAGGCAAATCAGAACAATAACAGCCAGAGAGAGGCTTAACTTTCAGCTGTCCTCTGCTTCTCAAAAGTGCTCTGACAAGTTTGATGGTGTTACTTTTATTAGAACTCTGCAGCTTCCTAACATTTAACAATGGATATTGCAGAAAATATTAACATGAAGCTATAACAATATTTGGCCAGAATGCCTTCTGTGATTGTAAGTTTATACGTGACTATACACAAAAACAATATTTAGCTTTCGTCTCCAGGGCTGTTGAAATGGAAACCATACAATTTTCTTTGTCACTGCTCTGCAGCTTCCATGACTCTAGGATAGCTCTTACATAAAATGGGGTACATTGCTACAGAGGGATATTTTGGGACTGAACAAGAAAAGTTGATAATCATATGATAGCAGGCTATTTGGAAAACAATGTAATTTTGGTCCAGACTCATCAAACTTATTACAGAGCTCCTAGTCTTAAAATGTATAATCAATGGATGCATTTTTCAATCCTGCATCTTTTCAGGGTATTTATATGCAAAAAATTACATCAGTTCAAGCTTGCAAAATATTCTCCTTATTCGAGTCCTGTAAACTTCATCAGAGAATGACATTCTTTCTACAGGTTTTGTGAAACATCCTGTAGCATGTACAGTCTTATTTTAGTATAGATAAATATTCTATACTATAAAGCAGTGGTTTTCAACTTTTTTTTTAATTTTGGACCCCTAAAAAAAATACTAAATGCAGGTGCAGACCTATTTGGAAATTTCAAATGGAGGTGCAGACCCCTTTGAATTGTATGTGAATACCCAGACTTACTTTTTATTGATCGTAGTCATCTTTTGCAGATCTCTTACCCTCTTAGCCCCAGGGGTCTGCAGATTGCAGTTTAAAAACCATTGATATAGAGTGATGTCTATTTAAAACTGGCAGAAATTTGGAGTAATTTCAGGGGGGAAAAGCGCTCTTATTACCTGTAGAATTTTCTTAAGTGCTGGGTGGTAATTACAGAGCACATCACTCCTTCCAAATTATAGTCAATGGCCTTAGGGGCTTTGCCTACCCCTGCCAGTAGTATTTCTGGTGGCAGACAGTGCTCACTACCTTCCTTGGATTGCTTATATATCCCCTGATTTCTGGCAGCTCTGTGTGACTCCATGGAAGTATTAGTGCTGCCAGATTGCAAAGCATATCTTGGGAAGGTGCCAGTTGCTGAAGAGACTCCTACAGCCCACAGAAGGTGAGGGAGTATCTACCAACACCTGCTGCCTGCTGGCTGGCAAAGGTTTTAGACACCAGAGAGTACTTATGAGTGTAGGTGCTGACAGAACTATGTAGTGTCGAGTAGGCTTAATTCAACACTAGTTGGTTTACCTTTCCAGCTGTGAATTCCTGGAGACCTCAAATAGTACCCCTTTCACATCTCTCCCTTGTTGTTTGGGCCCTTTGTCCATACAATTCTTTTCCCTCATCATGTTAATGAGAAAATTTTAGGGGTCAATCTCATCTATTGATGTGAGCGCATTTAATAAGGGCTTTGATAAAGTTGAGAAATATTTGGTTAAGACCCACTCCTTAATCTTTTTGGGAGCATGTACAAAGTCTATTCTTTTTGTTGCTCATCATTATTCCTATGAACACTTTTCACTTGTTCTGCCAGATTTCTGGGACCTTTTTAAAAGAAGGGTATAGCCCAGGTAGCCAAAAAAGTGCTGTAGTCACCCAACCTGCATCCTCCATTTTTCTTGCTTGGTTTAGAAAGCAGATGGATGTGTAGGCAGTCATAAATTCTTCCACTGTAACACTTCCCAGGATTTCAGAAGGTGACTTGCCAAGAAATTAATTTCAGATTTTCTCTCTTTTGAATAAGAGATGAAAAAGATTCTCTTTCTCTAAGCTGGATGCAATGAGTCAACATTTTACTAGTACTTTCCTTTCCCTGAGTTTATTATATGATGTCTGAACAATTCAAGATACAAGTTTTTTGTTCTCACTTCTCCTCTCTGTTTAGGTTTCATCTCCACCTGTCTTCTCATAGGCCTGCACATAATATGACTCCGAGTCCTTTTCCCAGAATAGCAACCTGGTGACTAATTGACGTATCAAGACCTGAATGTATGCAACAGTTGCCTTTCCCACTGAATGATTCCCTTTGTATGGCATGATATAATGAAAGCCTGGGGGTAGCCAATTTTATCATGCAGGTTGGAAAATGCATTAAATTTTTCACATTTCAGGAAATAGTCTTTATGTTTGACATTTTGAAATAACTGCATTTTATAACAAAGGCTTATGGCTTGTTTATACAGCAGAAGTGGTGGGTCCCAGTCCACCTACTCCTGAGCATGCCACTTGCATACTGTACCCTCTCCCCCCCAGTCCAATGACTTGCTTCAGACCCTGAAATATTCCAGTGAAGATGCTCTGGGGAATCCCTTTGCACCTACTCTTGAGACCTTGGTCTCTGGTATTCTTGAGAGCAGCCATTAGGGATGACCCTGGGGGCAGCCGTACCAGTATACTGGGTTTAGAGCATTTGCTGTAGTATAGGGTGGACATAGAACATTTGAGAATGGTACAACTGGGATATATCACCTCCAAGGATGAGATAGACCCTAAATGGCTCTCCTCTGCCTTACTGTGGTATCTTCCTTGAATATCGTCATCATTGCTCAACTAGCAGGACTAAGGTGTTTCAAAATAAGTAAAACCACAGATAATGTTTGACTGCACATTTTTTATTAGCACCCTGAAAGGCAACCCAAACCCCTTGGCAAGAATTCTGTCCCCTAGCAATTTTTATAATTTTCAGAACCTGGTGGTGTTATGCGTTGAAATGAAAATAAGACCATTCAAATGATTTTGTGAAAGCAGTTTCAACAAGAGGCCAGATTCCATTAACCTATTAGGCACATAGATGTGCTTAGGTACTTCAGTCCACTCTTATCCCATTCTGTTTGGGTCCCTGAAAAACATTTAGTACAAAAGGTCATTGCATCTTCTTCCTCCTTGCTGTTTTTTGTGACTGAGTCTTAAGGGTCAGAGGATGGATAATTGCAAAAGTAGATGCATAAGAAGATTTTCATGGTCTTGAACAGGATGTAATACAATTACGCTAAGTCAACTTAGATGCCCATCAGGTGGAATAGAAATGGACCCAAGATGCCTGTCTTCTATCATTCTGTACATGTTTTCTGGTTTGGTAAGCATGAGTAACTTGCTTTTTGGGTGATGGCTGATTATACAAGAGAGCTGGTTTCCAGTTCCTGCTCATCCTGGTTTGATTCAGAACAAAGTTTTTCATTCTAGATTACTTTGATTCAAGGAGAGCATAAACTTCAACCTGAGCCTCCCAAATTAGAAGGCAATGTCTTAGACCGAAGCCTGTAGAGAGTCACTGTTTTCTCTTCCTTTACCCCTCCTGTCACTGGAAAGCTTGGCTTCAGCAATTTTCCATTTAAGTAAAAATGTTTGCAATCTCTCCTTTTTAAATTCATATCAACAAGTGTGTTCCTTGCTGAATAAATAAAGGAAATCATGCATACTTTGCTATTCAGTCTTTTGTATCCAATAATTGTGTCTACTGTATTGTTGTTTGAAAATAGATAACTAGACAGGATTAGGGTACAGCTTAGTTTAGCTCTCTTCTGAAATACTTTAAGTACATTTTAGCAGCTGAGCATAATTGAAATACTATAGCAGATGGATTCCCAAAGCAGGGAGTAAATTACATGGTAGTTATAAGTAAATAGAATAGTGTTTTCTTTTTGTTTCTTGACAACTTAGAATTACATTAAACAGCCACAGTTGGGACCAATTGGGAATCCTAGGGAAATAAATATTGATTGGGAAATTACTGACTAAAAACAAGCAAACTATGTATGTGAATATTTCATTTGTTTATTCAAATTACTTAATTTATCATTACTAATCTTATGCAAATGAGGCTCATATGGCCTGACAAATATGTATCCTATTAGAAGAGAGAATGCATTCCAAGCAACTGCCATGCCTGGTACTCAGTGGGTACATCTATATGTGCCATTAAGGCAATGTAATAAACTCTGATATAGTTTGCACTGGAGTTAATCACAGTGCCTTAATGATACATGTAGATGCTCTAACCACTGCTTTCGAGGGCACACATGCAGATACTATGGGACCATAGTAGTCTGAGCTGGGGTGGAGCATCCCCAAGTGGGTAGGTCGCCTGGGGGGTCAGCGCTGGGCTCCATAAGGTGGTGGCAGGTGGTGGAGTAGCTGGCTGAGGCACAAGAGTGACCCAGCAAACGGAGCTCTGTGGCTAGGTAGTAAGCAGGGATCTAGCCCCCTGCCTGCCTGGGCTGAGTGGGAGCAATGTATGCCTAGGTCAGTGTTTACATGTACATTTAGGCAGTTATTTTTGCCTCAGTAAGATAGTACTGTCCCCAACAACATTATCTTATGGCAGTGAAAAATAGCTTGCTGTGGTCTAATAGTGTCACATGTGTAGACTGTGACACTTTACACTGCAGCAGAATAGTGTACTGCGTAGTTAAGCACATATGTAGATACTATGCCTGTGTGAAGCGTCGGTCCCTGATTCGATTCAGCGGAGATTCTGCCCAATTCGGTGACTGAATCTCTGAATCTGAATCAAATCAGGAAACCCTTTAATCTCTCCAAATCAAATCGGAGCCCTCTGAATCAATTCGGAAAGATTCAGTGATTTGGACATAGGCACAGCTTTAAATGTTTTTTCTACATACCCTAAGGTACCAGGTGGCTCATCAATGCTGTGATGATGAGGCAGATGGAGCGTCCCACAGAAGCACAGGGGGCTCCCCAACGCACTCAGCAGCAGACCCGGAAGTAGATCAGAAGCATGTCTGATCCACTTCCAGGTCTGCTGGGGAGCATGCTGCCCCCCCCACCCACTCCATGCCCTTCCGGCTCAGTGACTGGTGCCTCCTTCATATTTGTGCCACTCCTATTTATCCCTGGTCATGCCCTTTCATTCACGCTCTGGAGTGTGGCAAAGTGACCCAGGTCGGGTAGAGGAGGCTGGGACCAACACCTGTGCTGGCCCTAGGAGCCTAACCTGGGGTCCTGAGGGCCTCCTGGGGAGCAGCAGTGCCAAGCTGGCTGCTTTAAGTCTGGCTGGTAACCAGACCATGTCTCTCTTCCTGGTGGTGCATACTGCTGCAGCATGCACCATGCCATGCCATGCTGCTCTTTTTGCAGGTGTTGTTTTTTTTTTATACTGGGATCTCACTGTATAAAAAAACCTTCCATAGCGCTGCTAACTAACAGCTCAGTGAATGGGTGCATGTGTGCCGCATGAAGTTTGCAGTGCCTCAAACTGCTTTGAGGTTCCGCAAACTGCATATATGCAATTGTCAAGATGTGTCCTTCTGCAGGTCCTGCCTAACTTGCCATGGAATGTCCTTCAGGACTTTCTGCTCCATCCTCTTTTAAGTCTACCCTTTGTTTGGCAAAACATCTGTTTACATTACCAGCTTTCATCTTTACACTGATCACTCCTGAAGTATCATGTTGGGCTTTCTCTGAAGTCTTTTGTAGATGTTATTGACATCACTTAAACCTAACACAACCAAAAGCAAATTTCATATCTCTCTTCTAAAACACTCCCTGTTTTACCAAACTCAGTTGCTGCCAGCAGTGATTGTGTTCTTTGTCACTTCCAGAACTATAATTTGGTATGATCTACAACTCCTCTCTTTCCTGATCATGCTAAGCCGTATCAAAGTCCTGCCATTTCTTCCATCAGTCATTTTTCTGGTCCAAACTTGCATCTCTCTCCACATAGCTAAAACTCCCATCCATGGCCTCATCACTTGCTTTGATTACTATGGCTTCCTCCTGCTTGGATTTGATGACAGATCTCCACCCTCCACACAAGACACAGATACCAAGATTAACTTCTTTTTTCATAATTCTGACCATCCTTACCTCTTTGAATTACTCCATGGGGTTGCAGTTCTACACAGATATGAGTTCCAGCCTCTTTCCTTACTTTCATAGCCCTTCAGAACTCTTCCACTTCCTACTCATCTGTTTTATCACCCACACACTCCATGATGCCAGTGACACCAATTTTAATGTACTTTTGTCTCCTTCTCCGTATTCAGTTTCTTGAATGTTCCTAAAGCTACTAACCTCTTTAGCTCTGATTTAAAGCCCACTGAAATCAGGAGATTTACTGGATTATAATGATATAGTTGAAAGAAATAATCTATATCCATGTTTAAGTTGTTTGGTGTACCCTCTTCTTCCACGTTTTACATTTGTTAGATTTAAGTAATTTGGGGACAGAAAAGTATTTTGTTTATCGTGCCTAGCATATTATAGATTTATTATAGCATGTTATAGACCAAAAAGGAATAAATAAAATTTACAATAAAATGTTGTCATTCATGCTAAACTGCAGATACACAAACAGTCATTTTGTAGAAGTGATTAGAAAATTAGAAGTCTTTTTTTTTTTAAAATTAAAGCTGAAGGATTATTCATTACTTCTTGTGAGGGGAAGAAAAGAGTAAGCACAGTAGATAGTGTAATTAGCTTTTAAAATCATTTTGATTTATTTTTTAAATTATCATAAGTAAATTGAGAATAATACAGTTTAAGTGAACATATAGAGAGAGATATTCTCCAGGCATATAATCATATCACAAAAATTATATATCTGTGTAAAAACTTGGATCAAAGATTTTTACTGCAGCAAAGAAAAAAATCCATTATTCTTACTCACATAAGTAATTCAGTTAATGAGATTACTCATGTAAAACTGGCTTTTTATGTGAGTAAAAATCATGGATTTTACAGGTGAGTTTTGCCCTCTGAGACCTGAAGATCAAACGCTTTTTAAGAGGATCTGCCTAGTCTGCCTGACTGTAGAATCTAGCCTTTTATTAGGGTAGTATTGGGAGTTTCAGTATATCATCTGAAGATTGTGGTTGGAATCTCATTTGAAGATAAATTAAGCAGATCTAGAATGAGCACTGACAAAATCCATTTCTTTGATATCTTCATCTAGCATATTTCCAACTGCACCTCCATGGGGCACATCCACACATGCAAGCAAGTGCTCTTGCGGCAGCTAAAATAGAAGCAGTGCAAATATGAGCCTGGGCTTTTTGCCTCAGTGCCTATGCCTGGACATGCACTTTCTTGTGGAGCAAATTGTGCCACTTGGGATAAAATAACCCTTCCTGGCTCCTCCCAGATCTGCAGCCAGGGGGAGCTAGAGCCCAGGGCCAGCACCTGTGCTGTCCCCAGCAGTATAAAAACCTGCTCCGGCCAGCAGCTCAGGCCTACTTGCCCTCAGGAGCTTCTGGGGGAGAAGCCACAGGGAGGAAGTTGGCCACACCCCTTCCTGAACCAGGCGGTTGCTACTGTGGCTGATTGCTGCAAGCCTGGTCTCAGGAGCTTCTGGTGAGAAGATGGCCAGGCCATTTCCTGCCTCTGGCTACTATTAGCTGCAGGCTTGGTTTCAGAGCTTTTGGAGTAAGTTGGGTGCACTCCTTCCTGCCTTGGGCTGCTGCTGCTGTTGCCTTCTCCTTCTCCCTCCCCCATGGCGGGGGGTCCTCTGCTGTATGTTGCTGCCCCCTCTCAGGGAGGAACCCACTACACTGCACTGCACCACACCCCAGCACAGCACCCCTGTTCTGGCCTGCTGCCCAGCCCACCGCCAAGCCATGGTTGGGGAACAGCCTGGGGAGGGAGCCTGCACTGCCTGTGGGCCCCTCCTCCACCATCACTGCCAGAGCCTAAAGGAACCTTGCCTGCCCCAGCTGCCTTGGCAGGCCACTCCCACCTTCACCTCCACTTTCACCAGAAGCACACCCTGAGTGCCTGAACTGGACAGCTCCTACCATCGGTGCTACCGCTGTTGTTGTTTCTGCTGTTGTGCTCTCTCTGGAGAGAGGGAGATTCCCTGCTGCACCACCTGACACCACATCTGCACTGACTTATTCCTAAATGACTGACTGCTCCTACCCTCTCTCACCGCTACCTCACTGCATCTAATCCTGATTTGTCTTCCTGCCTACAGCTCTGCTGTTGAGTGACCGGCTGAAGGCCTGAGGGGCTTCTGGACAGATCTTCCGCAAACAAAGCCCCTCCACTGCTCCAGCTGTCTTTTACACCTGCCTCAGCAGCCTTCCCTGTGTGTTTTGCCCTTGTGTGGTAAGTCCTGTGGTCCACTCCCCCTAACTTGGTGTTTGTTGTGTGGATGAGAAAGCCAGCTCAAGTTTCCCCAGACCTTGTGTGTATGTTCTCTCTCTCTCTCTGCCCCCCCCCCCCCCCTTTTTAGGCCTCCTGGGTTTTTTTTCCTGTGGGGCTGTGGCTTAGTGAGCTTCAGCCCCCTTCCTCCCTATCACCCTTCTTTCCCCATAGTGCCAGCCTGTCCCTACTAGATTCACCGGCCCTGAAGGATATTTTGTTTTTCTTTATTGTCTTTTCTGCCCTCATGTGAAACAATGGCAGGGCAGGAACCTTCTGGGGGGCACAGATGCCCCCAAAGAGCTTCCTGCAGTCCCCACTATGGGGGTGGATCCCAGGCAAACACCCAAGAGAATGCATGCCCCTGCAGACTCCACCCCAGAGGCAGAGTCCTCCTCTGGGGGTGGAGAAGCCTACAACCTCCATTGCAGGGACAGATGGGACTCTGATGGGGAGCCAACAGGGCCAGGGGGTCACCCCTGGCCATCCCCCGCCCCCCCAGAGGGGTTCCCAAGCCCCCTCTCCCATCATTGGGG